ATGGCAGGGACACGAGACAGGACACCGAGGGACACTCCCAGCCCTTTTGGGGACACTCCCAGCCCTTTTGGGGCTGTTCCCACCTTTCTTGATCAGCTCGATGGCCCCCGCCCGGCGGTCGATGCCGAAGTTCTCCCACTGCTGGGTGTTGTCCAGGTAGTGGACGGCGATGACCGTGGGGGTCAGGGCGATCATGTTCTGCTCCCCGCAGCCCGACGGGGTCACGATCAGGTGCTTCAGCTTGTCCCCATCGATGGCCTTCTCCACGATGATGGACACGGGGTTGCCTGGCCCAGAGGGGGACGTGTCACCCCCGAGGATGTCCCACCTGTCCCCACTCCACCACCAGGCTGTCCCCACGTGTCCCCTCTTTGGTGCTCACCCTGGATGCTGACTTTGGTCTCTGCCTCCGTGTCGGGGACGATGTCCGAGAGATCCGCGGCCTTCACCCGCTCCTCCTGCACCCCGTCTGTGGGGTGGGGTGGACTTGGGTGACCCCAAATCCTCCCCATGTCCCCCCACAACACTTAAAGCCACAGCGGGACCTCCCTGAGGTCCCCAGAGATGTCCCAAAGCCACAGCGGGACCTCCCAGAGATGTCACTCACTGACTCCCTTGTTCTGCGGGTCCAGCTCCACGATCTTCACCGTCTTCTCCAGCCGCATCCCCTCGGGCTGCCCAGGGCGGAGTCCGGTGCTGAAGGTGGGGCTGGGTCTGGGGTCCTCCCCTTCCCAACCCCTCCGGACCGGCCGGGAAAGGTCCCCCAGTATAAACCAGTCCCCCCAGTGACATAGTGGGACAATGCCAGGAGGCCACTCTCGGCCATCCTGAGGGGACAATCCTTCACCCCTCGCCACAAGCTCCTGGCAGGAGGGTCCAGCCCGGGGAGCGATGACAGGAGGACAGGACAGGAGGACAGGAGGACAGGAGGACAGGAGGACAGGAGGACAATCCCTGCCCTGCTCCTGCTGGCCACACCATTCAGGTGCCGTTGGCCTTCTTGGCCACCTGAGCACGCTGCTGGCTCGTGTCCGGCCCGCTGCCCATCACCCAACCACCGACGGGGGACACCGGGACGTCACCGCGCTGGGGACATCCCGGGAACGGAGCCGCCGCCGCGGCCACTCACCACGACCCTGAGCTTCTTCTTGACCCCGTCGCCCACGTACTGGTTGCGGACGGCCGCCTTGACCTCGACGTCCAGCAGGCCGAGCTTGAGGGGGACGATGACGAAGGACACGGAGCGCGAGGACTCGGCCTTCATGCGCAGCACCTGCTGGTAGCGCTGCTTGGCCGTGGAGGGGCTGCACAGGTCGGGGTTGTGGAGCAGCTCCACGCGCACCTGGACGGGGACGGGGACGGGGACGTCACGCGCCGGGTCCGGGGCGGGGGGCGGCGTCCCCAGAAAATGCCCCAGACCCACCGTGATGTCGTGCAGCCAGTAGTTGTAGAGGATGGCGCGGATCTCCACCTGCTCGTTCCTCACCACCGAGTAGGGCAGGCGGAGGTCGATGAAGAAGTCCTTCATCACCGTGATCTCGTAGGGGTCGGCCACGCACAGCCCTGGGGGTGGGGACAGGCGGGGATTTGGGGTGGGGGGACACCTCGCGTCCCCATGGCAGCCCTGGGGGCTTCAGGGGTCCCTGGAAGTCCAGGGAGTCCTCCCAAGGTTTAGGGGATCCATCAAGGACTGTGGGATCCTCACAAGGTTTAGGGGATCCCTCGAACCCCAAAGAATTCTCCCAAGCCTTTGGAGATCCCTCAAGTCCCAAGGATGGCCACCAAGCTTTGGGGCATCTCCAGATTTCAGGGGACCCCTCAGGCCTCAGGGACCTCCCCCCCAAGGTTTGGGGGCGTTCCCCAGGAACCCGCTGGTCCTCCATGACCCGTACCTTTGGAGGGGGAGAGGCTGACGGCCAGAACCTCCCAGGTGGTGATGGAGTCCTTCAGGTACACGGGCAGCGTCTTGGCCGAGACCCTGCAGGGGACAGGAGTGACCAAGGGGGTGACAGCCCACCCCAGGCTCAGGGGGGTCACCGTGGGACCTCCCTGGTCCCCAGAGATGTTCCAGACCCACAGAGCCCCAGGCAGGAGCAGGAGCTTGGAGATGATCCCCAAGTGGACCAAGAAGTCCTGAGGTCGCACCAGGAGGTCAGCGGTGACCTTTGTCTGGATTTGGGGTGACCGTGACTGGTCTCCAGAGATGTCCGAGCTGGATGGGGACAGGGTGACCGTGCCCTGGCTGGGCCGTGGGGTGGGAGGGTGGTGGGACAGGAGGTCCAGGCTCACCCCAGACCGTTGGGTGGCTCCGTCAGCTGCTCCACCTGCCACAGCCAGCTCTCGGGGAAGAGGGTCCGCGAGATGATGTCCGAGTCCGGCGAGAAGAGATCGTCCTCCTCCTGGCCTGGGGGTGGTGGCATCGGCCCTCTCGAACGTGGCTTCAGGGCTCCAAGCCCTGAGCAGAGCTGGTATCACCCCAGCGCCACCCAGTGCCACCCCAGTGCCACCCCAGTGTCACCTCAGTGCCACCCAGTGCCACCCAAACCCACCCAAGACCCTCCCAACCTTCACCCAAGATCCGCCTGAGGAACACCCAAGGAACACCCAAGGTTCACCTGAACTTCACCCAAGGAACACCCAAGGTCCACCTGACCTTCCCTCAAGGTCCACCTGAGCTTCACCCAAGCTTTGCTCAAGAAAAACCCCTCAACTCCATTTGAGGTTCACCAAGAACCACCCAAAACCCACCCAAGACCCTCCCAACCTTCACCCAAACTCCACCCGAGGTCCCCCCCAACCTCCTCCCGCCCTCCAGGGCCCGGCACTTGCTTCTGGCCAGCCCGGTGCCGAGGGCCACGTTCTGCTGGTCCCGCTTGGCCTTGATGAAGGTGCAGCAGTCGAGGAAGGCGCGGACGCAGGACTCGCCCTCCTGGATGTACTGGCTCCTGCGCTCGCAGCCGTGCCCCATCGGGTTCTCCTTCATCCCGTCCTCGCAGCACTTCCGCTCCAGCTTCCCCGAGTACTCGGCCGCTGCCGGACACCGGGACACGGCTGGCAGCGGCCCCGGTGGCTCCCGGGGGTGGGGACCTCGGGGTGTGGGGCTCTGGTGGCTCTCGGGGGTGTGGGACACTCTGGTGGCCTTTGGGACATCGGACACACTGGTGGCCCTCAGGGACAACAGGCACCAGTACTAACTGGGACACTCTGGTGGCCCTCAGGGACATGGGACACTCTGGTGGCCTTTTTGGGACAAGGAACACCTGGTGACCTTGGGGACAAGGGTCACCCTGGTGGCCCCGGGGCACAGGACATCGCAGCGTTCCTGGGGACAAGGGACACCCCCGGTGCTCCTGGGGACAAGGGACACCCCAGTGCCACCTACCCTTGGTGCCCTTGTACTCGGCGAGTGCCAGCGAGCGGCGCTTGCGTTTGGCCGGCTGGGGACACTGGACATCTGGGGACAGAGGGGACACTGGTCAGGACCCCGCAGTGTCCCAGGTGTCACATCCCAAAGTTCAGCGTCACCGTCCCATCCTCGAGGTGTCACCAGCGCCATCCCCCTAAATGTCACCTCCCCCTGTCCCCGAGGTGCCACCACGGCTGTCCCTACCTGACCGCTGCGGGGTGCTCAGCTGGACGTTGGTGGTCAGGCTCAGGCCAGCGTCCGTGAAGACCCCGACGTTGTCCCTGCCACTGCCCGGCGTGCAGCCGATGTCACTTTGCTCCACCGTGTCCCACACCTGCGCCCACAGGGGACACCCGTGATGGCCACCGCCACCATCCAAGGGCACAGGGGACACCCGTGATGGCCCCCGCCACCATCCAAGGACAGTGGGGACACCCATGATGGCCACCGCCACCATCCAAGGACACAGGGGACACCCGTGATGGCCACCGCCACCATCCAAGGACAGTGGGGACAGCTGTGATGGCCACCACCACCATCCAAGGACAGTGGGGACAGCCGTGGCCACCGCCACCACTTGGGGATGACAGGACAGATGTGACAGCCACTGCCACCCCTCGGGGACAGCAGGGACAGGGACAGCAGGGACACGGCCACCCACCCTGGTCTGGGTGAGCTTGTTCTTCTTGCTGAGGACGAAGACGCCCTTGTCCACGGCCACCAGCCCCACGTGGGCCTTGTGGTCGCCCTCGATGCGCAGCCTCATCGGTGTCCCCGGCTCGTGGACGCGGTTGTCACCTTCCGTCGCCCCCTTCACCACCAGCTGCCACAGACACGGGGGGTGATGTCCCCAGGATGTCCCCAAAAGCCACCACGGGGGACACCAAGTCCAGACCTCCAGGGGCAGTTGGTGGCCGTGGGCTTCATGTCTGGGCCATCGCTGGCGCACCAGGCCCACCTGGGCCACCCAGGAGATGTCCAAGCTCCTCATGGAGTGTCCAAAACCACCCAAGTGACACCAAATCAGAGTGACACCACCCAGGTCCCTCAATGTCCCCTCAAGCCCTTCCAAAGGTCCCCAACGACCTCAAGGTGCCCCTAAAACCTTCCAAAGGTGCCCCAGATCCCTCAAAGGTCCCTCAAGAGTCCCTCAAACCCTTTCAAAGGTCCCTCAAGTCCCTCAGGAGCCCCCCCAGATCCCTCAGGACCACCCAAGACCCTCAAGGACTTCCCAAAACCCCTCAAGGCCCTCCCAGGTCCCTCAGGGGCCCCCCAAGCACATCCAAAACCACCCGGACCCCTCCAGGGCCATCTCAAGGACCACTCCAGCCACCACCAGGGCCCGTCCAGTGTCCCCAGGAGCCCTGGACCCCCCGGGGCCAGCGGGGGACACTCACGGTGCCCATGCAGGTGTCCTTGACGTCCACCCAGACGGAGTCGGCCACGATCTCTCCGGGCAGCACGTGGTAGTAGGCCACCACGCGGAAGGACGGGATGAGCTCGGGCGTCACCGGCAGCGTCATGGTCACCAGGCTCTGGCCGGCCTCGTGCCGCTGCCGGCCGGCTCGGAGGATGCGGCCCTTGCTCATGACCTGCGAGGAACGCGGGCTCGGTGGCCACCAGCACGTCCGGGTGGCCAGGCCGGGGGAGCGGCGGCCAAGGGGACCCACCAGGAAGGGGAAGAGCAGAACTGGGGACAAGGGACATGGGGACCCACCAGGAAGGGGAAGAAGAATTGGGGACCCACCAGGAAGGGGAAGAACAGAATTGGGGACCCACCAGGAAGGTGAAGAAGAAGAACTGGGGACCCACCAGGAAGGGGAAGAAGAAGAACTGGGGACCCACCAGGAAGGGGAAGAGCAGAATTGGGGACAAGGGACATTGGGACCCACCAGGAAGGTGAAGAACAGAATTGGGGACCCACCAGGAAAGGGAAGAACAGGATGGAGTTGGGGACCCACCAGGAAGGTGAAGAAGGGGACGGAGTTGCGGACGTTGTTGTTGTTGGTCTTGAGGTGGAAGTTGACGGCCAGGTTGTCACCGGGCTGCAGCTCGGTGCCGGCCACCGCCAGGTGCAGGAAGTTTCCGGAGCCGGCCTGGCTGCGGTAGGCCATGGCCGTCATCTGCCGCGAGGCCTGGCGCTGCGGGGGCAGCCCCGCCTGGGCCGTGCGCACCTGGCACGGGGACACGGTGGCACTCGGTCACGGGGGACGCTTCCCCACACCCCCCCGGCCACCCCAGGCGTGGTGGCACTCCCGGTGTCCCCACTCACGGTGATGGGGACGCTGTCCTTGTTGGCCGGCATGTTGAGGACCAGCCTGGCCGTGCCGTCGCGCTGGGTGGACACCTGGCCCTGGAAGCCATCGGCCTGGACGGTGACACGCGGGGCCGGGGACTGGTCGGGGTTGGTGACGTAAACCTGGAGGGGACACCGGGGGATGTGGGGACGTTATGTGGGGACGTGGAGCGAGGGAAGGGACACTGGGAAGGGACACTGGGAAGGGGTGGTGGCACTGGGAAGGGACACTGGGAAGGGACATTGCCACCAGGAAGGGCCATCCCCGTGACACAGGGACAGCCCACGGTCCCCAGCCCCTCTCAGGTGACAAAGGGACGTCACCCAGGGACTGAGCTTCACCCCCAGGCCCAGCTGTGTCCCCACCCCAGGCCAGGACACCCAGTGGGCCCTGGGCCACCCCCCTGGGCCACCGCTGTCCCCACGATGTCACCAACCGTGAGGTCAAAGGGCATCCCCGGCTTGAAGTACTTGGGGGTGCGGGTGAAGTGGATGCTGTAGGGGGACGTCACGATCTGGATGCCACCGTGCTGCGCCTCCACCATGTCACTGCCTGTGGGGACAACGGCGGTGACCGTGTCACCCTGGGCCAGGGCCAGCCCCGTCCTCGCTGTCCCCAACCCCACACATCCCCAGAATCACATCCCTGCTGTCCCCGCTGTGTCACCCATGTCCCCTTTGTCCCCCTGTCCCCTTTGTCCCCCATGTCCCCCCGTGTCCCTGTCCCCCGTGTCCCTGTCCCCTTTGTCCCCCGTGTCCCCACACAGACCTGACTCGGTGATGACGGTGACAGTGACATAGAGGGAGTGTCCCACGAGCTCCTGGGGGTTGGGGAAGCGCTCGCGCAGGTGAGCCATGGACAGCACGGCTTCGGCGTCACCGTCCTGCACCTGGGGACGTGGGGACATGGGGACAGGGTTAGGGACATGGGGACATGGGGACAGGGTTAGGGACATGGGGACAGGTTTGGGGACATGGGGACATGGGGACAGGTTTGGGGACATGGGGACAGGGTTAGGGACATGGGGACAGGTTTGGGGACATGGGGACAGGGTTAGGGACATGGGGACAGGTCTGGGGACAGTGCCAGGCTCACCGGGACGCGCTGCAGGGACTGGGGGATGCTCTTCTTCTCGTCGTCCACCATGACCCCGAAGAGGACAAAGGCCGTCCCCTCCAGGCGCTTCCCGTACAGGTACCTGGGGACAGCCACCGTGTCACCGTGTCCCCACCCTGTCACCCCTGTCACCCATCCCTGCCACTGCCACCACCGTGTCACTGTGTCCCCATTGTGCCACCCGTGTCATCCCATCCCTGCCACCACCACCACTGTGTCACCGTGTCACCCTGTGTCCCCCTCACCCCCCCAACCTGTCCCCACGCCACCCCCAGGGGCGGCAGAGCTGTCCCCTGTCCCCCACCCAGGGGTGGCCCCAAGGGGACACTTTCGGGGACACTTCTGGGGACACTTTTGGGGTCACCTGGCCAGGATGGACACCCGGAAATCCTCCTGGCGGTCGATGTACAGGAACTTCTCCTCGGTCTCCAGGGCCACCTCAAAGCTCGGCAGCACTGCAGGGGTGACACGGGTGGCACCGGTGACACGGTGACACCGCCAGCCCTTGGGGACAGTCCCCGCGGTCCCCCCCGCACCCACCGTACTCCTTGACCTCGAACTGGGTGCTGAAAACCTGATCCGGAGAATCCTCGAATTTGGCCGAGATCGTCCACATGCCGAGGCTGGAGGAGGGGACAGTGAGGGGACAGCGAGGGGACAGCGCCGGGGGTGTCCCCAGGGCCACCGCGGGGGCGGCGGGGGGGAGGTGACACCCACCTGACGACCTCGGGCAGGTTGTGGTTGAGGGACAGGATCCCGGTTTTCATCGGCGACGACACCGGCACTTGTTTGATGATGACGTTGTCGGGGGTCTGGGGGGACACGCGCGGGGCGGGGACGGTGGCGCGGGTGGCACCGGGTCACCCGCCCACCCCCGGTGTCACCCCGGTGTCACCCGGTGTCACCCACCTTGACCTCCACGATGACCGTCTTGGCCACCGGCTGCATGAGGTGGCCCACGGTGAAGAGGCGGCAGAGCACTGCGAGGGGACACGGGGACAAAGACAGAGGGGACACAAAGGACAGGGCGGGGACACGGGGGACAGGGCGGGGACACGGGGGACAAGGTGAGAGGGGGCACAGGTGTCCCCACAGTGTCCCCACCCCCGTGGTGTCCCCAGGTGTGCCTGCAGTGTCCCCGCGGTGTCCCCGCGGTGTCCCCAGGTGTCCCTGCACTGTCCCCGCGGTGTCCCCGCGGTGTCCCCAGGTGTCCCTGCGGTGTCCCCAGGTGTCCCCCGGTGTCCCCAGGTGTCCCCGGCGCTCACCGGTGGCCCCGGGGGTGTAGATGGGTTTGTCGGTCTGCAGGAAGATGTGGCCGCTCTGCAGGGACACCAGCAGCACCTTCTCCAGTGTCACCGCGGCCACCCGCGCTGTCACCGTCACAAACTGCTTCTTCTGAGCCGGCGGCAGGAGCTTGGCCGACACCTGCGGGGACATCGGGGACACTGGGGACACGTGTGGGGACACTGAGGACACGTGTGGGGACAGAGACACTGGGGACACTGGGGACAGGGGACAGCGGGTGGCAGCCATGCCCAGGAAATGGAGCTGAGGACACTGGGGACTGTCCCCGTGGTCACCAGGAGTGACCGTCCCCTCCTGTCCCCCACCCCCGGTTCAGGGTTCAGCCTCAGTTTCCCCTCCCGGGCAGCGACCGCTGTGACAATGGCCCGGGACAGTGACCGGGGGGCGGTGACAGTGACCAGGGTTGGGTGGTGACAGTGACCAGGGCTGGGCGGTGACAGTGACCGGGAGGCGGTGACAGTGACCAGGGCTGGGCGGTGACAGTGACCGGGGGGCGGTGACAGTGACCGGGGGGAGGTGACAGTGACCAGGGCTGGGCGGTGACAGTGACCAGGGGGCGGTGACAATGACCAGGGTTGGGTGGTGACAGTGACCGGGGGGTGGTGACAGTGACCGGGAGGCGGTGACAGTGACCAGGGCTGGGCGGTGACAGTGACTGAGGGGTGGTGACAGTGACACCGTACCTTGATGGTGGCCGTGGCCATCATGCCCTCGGCCGGGCTCAGGGCCAGCCGGCTCTGGAACAGCACCTGCCGCTTCTGGGGGAAGTCCTGGACCAGCAGCGAGGCCTCGGTGGCCGCGCTCAGCCCGGGCGCCTCCAGCACCACCCGCTCGTCCGTGTCCAGCCGCAGCACGGCCGGGGTCACCATCGTCACCCTGGGGACACCGCGGGGCTGCTGCGGGGGTGGCACGGCACCCGGGACCCCGAAATCTGTCCCCACAGCACCCAAAAACCCCAAACCTGTCCCCACAGCACCCGGGAACCCCAAAACCTGTCCCCACAGTGACCCAGAGACCCCAAACCTGTCCCCACAGACCCAGAGACCCCAAAACCTGTCCCCACAGAGACCTGGGGACCTCACAGTACCCAAAACCCCCAAAATCTGTCCCCACAGCACCCAAAAACCCCCAAATCTGTCCCCACAGCGCCCTGGGGACCTCGTGGGACCCCATGACCCCCCTGATCTGCCCCATGGGCCTGAAATAACCCCAAATCCCCCCAGTGCACCCCAAAACCCCCACTGCACCCCAGTGTCCCCCCCGGTACATTTGGGTTCGGGTTTTGGGGGGTCCCGGATATGGGGGATCCAGGCTGGGGGGGGGTGAGGGGGGAGATCCCGAGGTTTGGGGGATCCCGAAAGAGGGGATTCCATGGGGGTCCCATGGGGGAGGTCCCATGGTGGGGGTCCCACGGGTGGGTGGGGGTCCCATGGGGGGGGTCCCCTGGGCGGGGTGGGGGTCCCATGGATGGGGAGGGGTCCCATGGATGGGGAGGGGTCCCAATCGCTCACAGCTGGGCGCGGGCGGGGGTCCCGAGCAGCGCCGCGAGGCCGAGGAGGAGGAGGAGGAGGGTGGGGGGCGGCAGCGCCGGAGCCCCCATGGCCGCAGGGAGGGGACAGCGACAGCGACAGCGACAGCGACAGCGGCGGGGGGGTCCCTTTATGGCGGCCCCGGTGGTTAATGGGTAACCCAGCCATGGGGGGGGGGGGCTCCGGCCACCTCCGGCCACCTCAGGCCACCCCCGGCCACCTCCGGCCC